GTCTGATGGGTTGGTAGAAAAGTACAACTGGACACTGGGACAGGAATTGTCAAAGTTTTGTAATAGCTGCCAAGATGACTGGGATGTCTTACTCCATCCACTGTTGATGGCCTATAGAACAGCAGAGCATGAAACCACTGGATACACTCCAGCAAAGCTTATGTTTGATCGGGAACTTCAGTTGCCAATGGATCTGTTAACAGGACGCCCACCTTATGAAGAGTTGCCTGAAAATGTGCAGGAGTTCGTAAAAGTGTTATCAGAAAGGATGGATGGTATTCACCATCAAGTGCATTCAAACTTTAAAACATCTGCTGATTCCATGAAACTATGTTATGATAAGAGATCTACTGAAGTCAGCTTTGTACCAGGAGACAAGGTTTGGTTGTATAATCCTCGGAAGACCAAAGGGAAGTCTCCCAAGTTGTCTTCTCCATGGGAAGGCCCATATGACATAGTGGATCATCTCTCAGACGTGACTTTTCGAATAAAATGTGATCGGCGAGGTAAGCCAAAAGTGGTGCATGCCAACAGGCTTTGGCGTTATCACGGTCCAGGACATTTCAGTTGGAACGAAATGAATAACAGAACAAATGACGCTGCTGAAGACGTGTCACCTTAAAGGCCACTGTTGGAGAAGAAACTCTACCAGGTTTTGGAGAAGGAAAACAGTAAAGCCGTTAATGAAGTTACTACCACTGATGTGACTGCTACCAATAAGGGCCCGGCATGGCCAGGTGGTTAGGGCACTCGACTTGCAATCTGCGGGTCGCGGGTTCGAATCCCCATCCCACCAAAAATGCTCGCCCTTTCAGCCGTGGGTGGCGTTATAATGTGATGGTCAATCCCACTATTCGTTGGTAAAACAGTAGCCCAAGAGTTGGTGGTGGGTGGTGATGACTAGCTGTCTTACACTGCTAAATTAGGGATGGCTAGCACAGATAGCCCTCGTGTAGCTTTGCTCAAAATTCAAAAACAAGCAAAAGCTACTGATAATGGGATATTTCCTGATGGAGCAGATAAATCCCACATAATGCAGAAGCCAATAAGACAGAGACCAGTACGAAAGAAGAAACGTCCTGTAAAATTAAGATACTTTGTTGTATTTAATTTTGTGTTTGTAAACATTTAATTAAGTTATTATTAATTATCTATTGGTTAAATGTAAGTGGCTATTGTTCGGGACGAACAATACTAAGGAAGGGGCAGTGTTACGACAGCAGAAGTCACGCGACGCTGGGAGCATGAGTTTCTGGAAGGATCATGAATTTTTCCCGCAACTCTAGTCTGATCGAGACGCCCTCTTTTTAGTACATAAGCCTAGCGAGAAAAACCGGCACGATTGAAGAGATAGATAATTGAGTCGAGTGAACAGTAGGTACCGTAAGTAAAGTGTGTGAATCACTGTGATTTATAGCGTGTGTTATAAAAGTTGGTAAGTGTATTACAAAGTTTGTATCGAGAAAGTTTTTTGTTGTATTTCGCGAAAAATTACACGAGGGCTATCTGCACTTGCCGTATCTAATTTAGCAGTGTAAGACTAGAGGGAAGGCAGCTAGTCATCACCACCCACCGCCAACTCTTGGGCTACTCTTTTACCAACGAATAGTGGGATTGACCGTCACATTATAAAGCCCCCACTGCTGAAAGGGTGTGACGGGGATTCGAACCCGCAGATTGCGAATCAAGCGCCCTAACCACATAGCCATGCTGGGCTGGCACATTTATGAGAGTTGTTGTTGTAGAATGAAGACAAAGCAGCGTTTTTAAATCTTGTTTTTACACAGTTCTCTAGGTTCTGGGAACCATTCCTGTTGCAAATAGATTGAGATTTCAAAATTACATTAATACTCTCAAAGGGGAACAGGTAATCAGAGAATTTAAGTTTAGGGGGAGGTAACCCAAATTTTAGGCCCTTAGCTAGTGCACTTTTATAGGGTTCACTGAGTACAACATCACTAAAGTTGGTATTTTTATGTGGAATTAATTTATTCAGTTTAACATTCAGTTTGTGTTTCTGCGTTAATATTGTTATTCAGGTTGAAGTCGATCCATGATACTTTATTTCTTAGTTCATTCTTCGCTGATTCATGTTGAATACTAGACTGTTTCTTCATGTTGAATACTAGACTGTTTCTTCGTGTTGAATGCTAGACTGTTTCTTCATGTTGAATGCTAGACTGTTTCTTCATGTTGAATACTAGACTGTTTCTTCGTGTTGAATGCTAGACTGTTTCTTCATGTTGAATGCTAGACTGTTTCTT